AACTCTACCTCTCGACCACGAGGGAGGTTTTGGCCGCCCGGAAGGAATCGTTTTATGGAAGCGTGCCTCGTTTTTGAGTAGAAATTTCAAAGGCATTTTTCTCGAAAACTATCGATCCTTCTCAAAATCCGAAAACGCCATCGTACTCTTCGTATTACTTCGTACTTCATACGATAGATGTTTGCTCATTCTGGTCAGTCTAAATCAGTCTAAATCAGATGTCCGATCCAGTCTTAGATTTAGAGTGATTGGCTACGACGTTTGACCTCACTTCAATCTAGGTCGGACGGATTTCTAGATCGAACATAACATATACATCCCATTTCTGTATTCTGTCGCTACAGTATTAAGAGGATGCACTGTCATTCAGTGTTCCTCTCTTCTAATCCGTTTCCTTCTAATCGAAATCTCACGGTCACTATTCCCATGTAAGTGGTAGAGCATCTGCTGTTAGCAGAAGGTTCAGAATTCAAAATCCCTTTGTTTCCAAATCCAAGCCAATGCTTTGCCATTTATTTCTATCATTTCACTGACCATCAACATTTGTGCAAGTCGGTGTTGCCAATGACAGTTTCCCGCTGCGTCGTGGGTGAAGAATATGACAAGAGAGACCTGAAAAATTGAAAATTAGCCTATAAAAGTCTCAAATTTCTATCTTTCTTAGAGCTAATATTGATTAAAGTTAATTTTGATTATATTTTTAGGAAGATTATTACGATTCGCATGCTCGTCTTCGAGAAAAATCTGTGGATTCGTGTTGGTCACTGATGAGTGACGACGACTCATTTCACTGGAAACGGAAAGATAAAGAGAGGATAGATAAAGAAAGGATAAAAAATCCAAATGTTATAGAAAGATCAAGGAATATTCAGGAAACTACCGTAATCTGCTCGCCAGTTAGATTAGCCTAATTTAGCCATTGATTAGCCTAATTTAGCCATTGATTAGCCATTGACTGGAAAAGATTTTCAAAAAAATGAAAAGTTTGTCGCTGGTGGGAGTCGAACCCTCGGCGGCCGAGGGGCACCGGTTTTGTAGCCCGGATCACTACCGGCTAGGCCACCCACTGCTCTTCGTTGGTTGCGTGTGTGGAGCTCTTATTGGAGGGGGGGGGGGCTAGGAGACAATTTTTTCGCAACTTTAAATGGATTTTTGCATTTCTTGGCAGGATTTTAATTTGAGCCAAAACCGAATAGCTATAGCATAGCTGAATAGCTGAATAGCATTTCCTTTTGGTGTTTACATTCCGAGCTTATCCTGGGCCCCAATTTGGATCATTTTCTTGATCAAAATTTCTGTTTTCCCAATAAAGCAAGCCAAAAAAAGATATTGTGATGCTTGTGATTTTAAAACGACCAAATATATACCGAAATCTATCAAAATCTACTAAATATATACCAAAATCTATCAAAATCTACCAAAATCTATCAAAATCTACCAAAATCTACCAAAATCTACCAAAATCTAACAAAATCTAGCTAATCAAGTGAAAACTGGCGGTCAGATTACGCTAGTTTGTCTAAAATGAATGTTTTTAGACAAGAGACTTGCAGCTTTTCTTTATTTATGAAAAATCCTTTGTCACTTTTGATTCTTGAGCTCTAAAAAAGCTTCTTGAGCTCGATTCAAAGGCTTTCCCAATAAAGCAAACAAAAAAAAATATTCAATATGATTCTTTGAGAAGAAAATTGCCGTTCAGTTGGGGGAAATGAGTGTCAGAAGTGTCAGAAAACGAAAAAGAAGAATATTTTTGATTGAGAAACCTTTAAATGTTGAAGAAAATTGTGGGAAATCACGAGAAATTGTAAAATTTGAGAAAAGAAAGCAAGAAATTAGCAAAAAGCCAATTTCTTTTCGATAACAAGCTTTGGGATTTCCTGGGAAAAGAAATTTCAAAATTTGTTTTGAAAAAGTTTCAAAAATCAGTTCTAAATTTGTTTCAGACAGTTTCAAATTCAATTTAGGAATTAGGTTCGGCTTGGAATTTTGTCTATGTCTAGTAAATAGGCGATTCTTGAGAAATACGCTACCGTAATACCTGTAATAGCAGCCGTACAGTCGCGTAGTCGCAAAATTTTTTTACTAAATCCTTTTTTTCTAAGCGCCTATAATTTCTAAAAATTCATTTTTGGTATCAAAGAATAGCCCTAAATCTCAGCTTTCATTTGATACCTTTTAAGGTTTAGTGTGCCAGAACACGTGTGTTTCCGCTTCCCGCAAACCAGTCTTGTTCTTTGAGGTGTACTTTATGCTTAAACTTGTAAACACACCCTTTCTAGTGCAGTGAATTCTTCATTTCTCATTTCTCTTTATTTCTCAAAAGAACTGAATGCTCAAGAAAGCTGCACAGAGAAAAATGAAGAGGTTAGTGTGCCAGAAAGGATGCGTTTACAATGTTGAGTACAAAGTACACCTTAAAGAACAATGCTTCGCTTAGAGGGTTTAGTCGGTCGTTCTTTGCGCTCCGACGTAAACTAAATCGATCTGGCACACGCAATTCCTCATTTTTCTCGCAGCAGCAAGGCACTATCGCAAGAAAAATTGGGGTTTCCGTGTGCCAGATCGATTTAGTTTACGTCGGAGCGCAAAGAACGACCGACCGAACCCATAGCTTCGTTGGTAAACGCGCGCGATCTGGCATAATAGATTTAGAAAGAGTCGTTCCTTCTTTGCGCTCCGGCGTAAACTAAATCGATCTGGCACACCGAAATCCCAGTTTTTCTAGCGATACCGAACTGCTGCTGCGAGAAAAATTGGTTGTGCCAGATCGATTTAGTTTACGTCGGAGCGCAAAGAACGACCGATGTCTAGCTTGGCTGGTAAACGCGTGCGATCTGGCATAATAGATTTAGAAAGAGTGAATAGGCGTCGGTTCAGTTGCCCAATTTTGATTTAATTGGATTTGGCAACGATTTGGCAACAATTTGGCAACGATTTAGCAACGATTTGTCGAATTCTGTGCACTAGGGAGGGTGTGTTCACAAAATTTGAGCAAAAAGTGCGCAAAGAACAAGCTTAGATAGGAATTTGAATGATAAAAAGATAAAAAAATGATAAAAAGCCCGTGTTTTCATTAGAAGAAAGAGATTCCATGTGAGAAATTGCCTTCTTTTTCAATTGAGGTCAATCACTCAATTTTTTTTCTGACTCTCAGCAACAACTGTTCCTCTTAAAAAGATCATTCACTTTTTCTTTTCAAATTTTCTCTTTCTCAACTTTGATCTTTGTATCGGTGATGAGGGTGGAAGGGAGGAGAAAAGAAAGAAAAGGAAGGAAAATGAATAACTAATGAATTCTTTAAGATTACCCTGATCTTAAGATTACCCTGATCTTAAAGAATTCATTAACTGAAAGTCTAACTGATCCAGGTTTGGCTTACCTTGCCTCTGGTTTAGCTAAACCTGGCCCTGATCTAGTTCTGGTTTAACTCTGACTAACTTCTGGAAAACCTTCTGGTTTAACCCATTACTTCTTGGATCTTTAACTAGCCAGATCCTGGCCTGAGTCTGATTGACCCTGGTTTATTTTTTGGTCAGTGACATCATTAAGATTATAGGCATTTAAGTACTGTAGCCTTTAGTACTACTGATAAACTACAGTACTGTAAAGTCCTGTAGCTGTAGGTGTAGATTACTGTAGGCTAAACCCTGACAAAACTATCTTCTACCCTCCAGTACGTTTCTCTTCTTGGATCTCTGTAGCTTTGGACTAGAAGTACAAAAAGTTGCAACGAAAAATCAAAAATCTAAATCCTGTGAAATGTTGTGTACACTTCAGCTAAGAAATTCACAAAAAAACAAAAAATTCTGAGCATTCACAAAAGAGGAATAAGTGCCCGAAGAGGCAAATTGGCAAATTGGCAAATCTGAGGCGAATTGGCTCCCAACTGCGCTAAAATCTGGGCAAACTACCGTAAGCCGTAAGCCAAAAGATCAAATGGATGCAAAATAGCTGGACTATCGATTGGGTTACTGTAGCTCTGGTATTGCAAGGTACTCTAGGTATAGCTTACTTAATTCCATGTAGATTAATGAGTAGATTAAAGTAGATTAAAGTAGATTAAGTTGAATGTAGATTAAAGCTTTACTGCAGTTTGTAGACACTGTAAATTGTTAACCGATTTGGTGGGGCTACTTTGCGCCAAATTTTTTGCGCAGCAGGGTCATTGGCGCACCTGGGTCATTGGCGCACCTGGGTCATTGACGTAACTGGGTCATTTGCGCAACTCGCCATAACTTTCAAAAGAATAAAAGAATAGAAATAAAGAGTTGAATGCCCCGAATATAGTGATTACTTAGTTAGTTCGAAAAAAAAATCTTACAATCAGCGCAAAATCTATGAAAATGCTAGCTTTTCAAAAGACAACGTGTTCTAAACGACGAAAAACAACTACGAACGAGCCACAGTATGCCTTTAAAGGCGGAATTTCTCGGCCCTGACTATTGATGAGCAAAAAGCTATATAAATGTCGCTGTTTGGCTTCGTCCATGATTTTGGGCCTGGCTTTAAGCGAAATTTTTTGCCCAACTCGCCATAACTTTCTTCTAAGTGGACCAATCTTTATGATTTTGATTTCATTTTGTAGATTTCAACAAGTGTAACAAAATGACACCAAAATCATAGAGATTAGCCGACTTGGAAGAAAGTTATGGCGATTTGCGCACACGACCCAGTGGCGCACACGACCCAGTGGCGCACACGACCCAGTGGCGCACACGACCCAGTGGCGCACACGACCCAGTGGCGCACACGACCCAGTGGCGCACACGACCCAGTGGCGCACACGACCCAGTGGCGCACACGACCCAGTGGCGCACACGACCCAGTGGCGCACACGACCCAGTGGCGCACACGACCCAGTGGCGCACACGACCCAGTGGCGCACACGACCCAGTGGCGCACACGACCCAGTTGCGGTCGCTCAGACGACCCCAGGAGCGCAAATGACCCCAGGTGCGCAAATGACCCCAGGAGCGCAAAATTTGGCGCAAAGTAGCCTACCCCGTTTGGTAAATGATTTCATAAGTGGAATCGATTTTGACAGCAAAGAACTGACTTCCTTTACATCTCGGCGGTCGCTCGTTACTCTCCACTTCGCCGGTTGTCCCGCTAAAAAGAATAGTGCTTTAATAAGCGTATTTATTATTACCGTAATACCAGTAATAGTAGCCCCCCCCCATAATGACAGTCGGAGCGTCGCGTAGTCTAGCTTTGAACGCATTTTTCTCGCCACCCGTTTATGCTACAGTGTTCGCTTAAGTATCAAATGAAAGCTGAGATTCAGGGCTATTCTTTGATACCAAAAATGAATTTTTAGAAATTATAGGCGGCTTAGAAAAAGGATTTAGTAAAAAAATTTTGCGACTACGCGACTGTACGGGAGGGGACTGCTAGTACAGGTATTACGGTAGCGTATTTCTCAAGAATCATCTATTTACTAGACATAGACAAAATTCCAAGCCGAACCTAAGTTCACCTTCGCTTTCTCGGCGATTTCTGGAGCGATTACTCTAAAATTTTGTCTACAAGCTGTCGATTTGTATGTGTAGACAAAATCGCAAAGCAATCGGCTAAGAAAACAAAGGTGGAGAGAAGTTTGGCTTGGAATTTCCCCATGTTTAGTCCAATCGAGCTCTCAAACCTTGTCCTCCAAACGATCCCACTTTTGTTCTCATCACCTTTCTCGGACATCAAAAGTACCGGATAATGAAAGACCTGGAAAGGTAGAGATTTCTAGAGACTTGTGTCGTTTAAAAACCATTTTCTGGACTGTAAAATCTTTTCACTAGTCTATACAGTCGAAATTCGATATAAAAAACTTCGATACAACGACATTTGACATTCTAAAATGTGGCCAAAATTTGTGTGTAGCTGCTCTAACCAAATGCAAACCACTGGCCGACGACGGCAGTGATTTGCATTTGGTTGGGGCAGCTACAGTATATAGATACGCAGATCTACAGCATATAGATACTGTAGATCGGGCAAGAAATAGAATTCTGGAAGAGGGTGGAGAAATTGACGAGAATGGAGCGGATCTTGAGAGGGTTACGGTCGATCTTTTCACTCACCTGTAACGATTGTTGTCTAACTCCTTTTCCCCGTCGCTTTTCCTTTTGCATTTGGTCAAATTGCAGCTCGGTGGTCTTCTTGCGTAACTTCTGTTGCTCGATTGGTGGAAAGTTTTTTGCTTTTTCCGAATTCAAATCCAAAACACGAGTCATTTCTAGAAAAATACTGTGTCTGATTTTGGGTTTTCATCGAATTTGAATTTGAATCCAAAACAATTAGCCACAAATCGTTTAAATTAGCAACAGATCATTTAAATTAGCCACAAATCACTCAAATCGAGCTAATTCAAGTGTTTTTTTTGGCTAAATCAACCAAAAAACAACACTTGAATTAGCAACAAACGGCTTAAAGGGCCCTTTATCTTGACATTTCAATGGAGAATGTCAACAAATCACTTGAATTAGCCACAAATCATTGGAATCGGCAACAATACGCTCAAATTCATCAATAAAACACTTAAATTAGCAGCAAACGGCTTAAAGAGCTCATTATTTTGACATTTCAATGTCAATCCAATCCAATCCAAAACGGATTTAGAAAAATCAATTTTCCAAAGTACGACTTTAGTGAGTCATTTTTTGTTTTTTTTCTCTGGAGAATTTCTTGTAAAGCAGAAAAATTGAGGTGCAAAAATAAACCGTGAAAATGTTTAGCAATAAAGAAATGTTTCGGTTTAACCATTTGTTGAGGAAATTTTGAGGTTTCTTGAAAGAAATCTTTAAGATTTGCTTTCAAGTGTTTCATTTCTAAAAAAGGCAATTTGATCTTTGATTCGGATTCTCAGGGACACAAAGCCTTTGTACCAGACGTGGAAATGAAATTAGTCATCCAGTTTTTCGGTTCAAAGAATCTTTAAAGATATTCAAATCTAAAATTCGTCAATCTAGCTACTGGATTTAAATAAAATCAGTAAAGTCATCAACGGGTTATTTCTAAAGTTCAAAGATCCAAAAACATTGGGCCTAGAGCCGCTGGATGTTTTGGGAAGATTTCAAAAAAGCTCCCAGAGCTGGGGCCATTCAGCCTTATCCCCAAAAACCCACTCGAATATCCCTGTCAGCTCTCTCCTTCATCTCTTTTCGCTTTTTTTTCAAAAGCCACATCGTTTGTGTGTTGTGTGACACCAATTCTCCCGTTTTGCGCCTTTCGCCCATCCAATTGGGAGTCCATCTTTAATTAGACGTGAGGCTTAGTTTATCTCAATTTTTTTCTAGGTTTAGGGGTTCTTTTCATTCCTATTCAGATAGAATTTGGCTGTTTTTTTGAAAAGTTGTGAGCAAAGGTTTGGCTTTTTGCAAGAAAAACTCGTAAAAACTTTTTTTTATGCATTTTGCCTAGAAAATTGTTTTATTTAAGCGACAATGTACCAAAATGACAACAACACAGATAACAAGATACAAATAAATCACCGGTAAACATCGACATTTCGCACAAAAATTGAGATCTTAATTGAATTTTGCTTGCGAGAAGTCCATCTCGGGATGGGATTCCATAAACCTAAAGAAAAATTTAATGAAAAACCTAGTGATTTTGACTAACGTTACAAATTCAACTCAAAAAACTGTGGAAAAGTTTTTTTATTTTAAAACCAAAACCCACTTTTTCATGATGTCATGTTTCTTCTTTTCTTCACTCGTCGGCAAGCCCAATTCTTTTTGGCGTTGATCGTACATCATTTTCTCAACCATCGCTCTGAAGCGAGAAATTGAAACTTCTTTTATTTTAGATTTCTCATGAACCAACCTAGTTTCTCCATCCAGATCGCTGAGCTTGCTGTTCTCGGGTTGCACCTTCTTCGTGCTGATCTCCGGGTCCGTATCGATGATTTTCGACCACCATTCCATACCATTCACCTAGAAGTAAAAGTTTAAACGATTTCTTAATATCGAATAAGAACAAAGCAAAGATTATAAATTATAAATTATAAACCTTTTCCAAAGTGAGCACTACGTTTTTCTTGTCCTCAAGTACCCATTGGGAAGTTTCCAACTTGACGGGATGCGGAAGATTTCCATCGATGATCTAGAAAAATAACAAAAGTAGATAGAAGCTTATTATTAGTATTTCAACAGCTAACAAATTTGAAAACCAACCAGTGGATGACCTTTCAATCCGATCTTGAGATGAGTCTTCTCGACAACCACCACAATGTCTTTGGCTTTCAGTTGGAAATTCACCTTGAATGGAACCCGTACCTAAAATGAGTCGATTTAGTTAAAAAAGCAAAGGTGCACCTCAAGTTCTTGCAGATTTTGCGTCCATGAATAATGCTCGAGATCAGCGCCGTTGCCAGCATTCGGTTGAAGTTTTCCCTTGTCCTCATCATTCTAAAGTTTTGATGATAAATGGTTGAATGGAAAATGAATACTTCATCCTCAATAGCACCGCTTTTCTCTTCGGTTTTTGATGTGGCAGCTGGTTGTTGATTCTTTCTAAACAATGAAACGATTATTTGCTTAAAAAGGTTCTCATAAACTCGCAAAAACTTACAATTTGTCATGTTACTTCTTTAACTTCTTTCTCTAACCCATTCTTTGTCATTTCTCTAAACTCACTGCTGTTCCTCAAATTCTTTGGCTTCCTCGTCGGTCAATTCGACAATCTTCGACTCGTTTTCAGCCTCTTTTTGCTCTCGTTGACGTTTTTCCTGGCGTTTTGCTTCTTCATGCGCTCGACGCTGGGCTTCGTCTTTGGCTTTCTAAAAAAATAGTATATTGCGTACTTAAATGAAAAAACCTGAATAGCTGTAGCCGCATGCTTCTCAAAAGCTTGTAGAACGATTTGACGAGTCTCGTCAATTCCCTTGGCGTTGTAGAAATCAGTTCTTCTAAAAAGAATAAAATTACCGACTTTTGATTTAGAAAACAATCTAGTGTCAAAATACAACTACGCTCGTTTCGTTTTGACAGAAACAACACAGAAATCCCTAATTTTTTTACACTTATAATACAAAAATTAGTGCAACTCACTTCGCGAAAAACTCGAAAATGACGTCGAACAACTCCTGGGGACCACCCTCAAGATCCTTGACGATTTGAAAGAGCAAATTGTGGCAAGTCTCTCGGTCTGGCATCTGAAAGATCAAAAAGTTAATCAATCGGGTAACAGGTAATGGGAAAAGAACAATTCAAATTCAAAATGACATTGTTGTGAAAGTGTTTCTGGAAATTGCCTTTGACAACGAGTAATTGAGCAAAATAGCGAGTACGCGCCGCACCAAATGACATCCTCGACGAGTGAACTCAAAAATTTTTCCGAATATCGCCACAAAAGCGCTGTTCTTGCTTATAAATTGTTCGTTTTTGTTGTCAACTTTTCAAAATTGTTTGTTTTTAAAGGTTTTAAGTTTTAAAATTAAAATTGCTTTCAAAAAAGGGTTTGTTTTTTTCTTTTGATAAAGTTAGACCTTGGCTGGCGTTGAAACATTGCAAGTAAACGCTAAAAGGCGAGTTTCGGTCATTTTTCAAGCAGCGAACTAAAATTTTGTCACAAATCTCTGACTCTTTTTTTTTTTCTTGTTCTGACCAGCCTAATGTGATCTATTTTCAGAGCAAGATGGTTTTCACCTGTTCGATCAGCGGCGAACGATGTGAGATGCCGGTGGTGTCTCCTATATCGGGGCGAGTCTTCGAGAAACGAGTCATCGTCAAATACATCAAGGATCAAGGCTGCGATCCCATCAATCAAGAGTCGCTCTCGGAAGATCAGGTATTTTTTTAGTGTTTGAGTTGAGGAGTACTTCAGTTTCAGCGCAGCTAGAAATTAACTAGCTAACATCCAGTATCGGGGGGAGGGGGTGGTAATTTTCCTTGTTTTTTCACTATTGTTCTGTTTTACATGGTTTTTTTACCTAACATTAACGAGTTTAAGCCACTTTTTACATATTCCAACAGGAAAAAAGGGGGGGGGGGCACCCCACCCATACCCCCGTTTTCTCTTTTTCTCCTTGTAATCATTAGAATTTATTATTTTACTGACTAGATTAGACTAGAACTTAATAAAAATGTAATAGGATATACTAATTTAATAGATATTTATGCTAAAACTTAGTACATCCCACTAGATTTGGTATTAAAAGTTAGAAAAACTCGTGGGGGTACGGGGATGTTCCCCCGTTCCTGCACTTTTTTGCTGTTGAAGTAGATAAAGAGTAGCCCAAACTAGTTAATGTTAGGAAAAAATTTAAAAACCATGTAACGACATAGAAAAATAGTGAAAAAAAGATGGGATATCCCCCCCCCCCCCCCCGATACTGGAGTAGATCCCTCTATTTTATGAGCTTGTTCGAACTTAACACTAAAGTTGTTAAACAATTATCTTTTTAAAAGGAAAAGTGCTAAACGCAAAACGTGATCTAAAGATAGAAAAATAGAAAGTTAAATGAAATTAGGGGGTTTTTTGCGGACAGAAGGAACAGACCACAAAACAGAAGACTAAATACCTTGAGCTTTCTCAAGAACATGATATTCAGTCAAAGGGTGCGCTTCTATTAGAGTATTTACGGTAATATTTCAATTTGAGCTAATCGAGCTAAAAGAAGCCGAAGATGTGGGCCCGCCACGAAGTGTTGGACAGACGTCGATTCCTTCCCTTCTCAAAATGCTTCAGGACGAGTTCGACATGTGAGTTTTGCGAATTGTTTGTTTATTTGTGTTGTTTTTAGGTATGCTCTCAACAATTTCACTTTGCGACAAAAATTGACCACAGCTCGTCAAGAATTATCTGACACACTTTACCAGGTGCGTTTAGAAAACAAGTAAAAACAATAAGGCCTACCTGCTAGGTTCTAATCTTGTTTATTTTAGCACGATGGAGCAACAAGAGTGATCGCTCGTTTGATGAAAGAACTCGCGGCTGCCAGAGAAGCCCTCTCAACATTGAAGCCACATTCGGCTATTCAAGAAGTCTCAACAAAGGCTGTCGATGTAGAAATGGAGGAATCACAAGGTTTTTACTGAATCTTTTGCATCATAAGAAAATTTGTTTTAGGAATGTCCGATGCGGTCAAGGAGAAACTCGACCAGAAGGCCAAGGTTTTGACCGCGGCGCGTAAAGCTCGCGGAAAGAAGTTGCCTGACAGTCTCACCAAACCAGAAGACATTAAATCATTTGAACAGGTTCGCTTCAGCTTGCTTAAGCGACAAATGCTTGTTCCAGAAAGTCTGCCACACAGCTCTCCACTCTACTGGTGTTCCTGGTATTACGGCTCTAGATTTGAAGGTAAATTTAGTCTTACTTATTTTTGTATACATCTTATTAAAGGATCAATTGGTTGCTACTGGCGGTGCCGACAAGAATGTGGTGCTCTTCGATTTGGAAAAAGAACAAGAAGTTACATCATGGAAAGGACATTCAAAGAAGGTTCATTTTATCAAAATTCTCCATGCATTGGCCCATGGGCGTAGCCAGGATTTCGCGACTTTTAGTCTAATGGTCCGAGCTCCTCGAGTGGTTTGAAGTTGGTCATTTTAACTTTTTTAGCTTTTTCGATTTTTGTTCGCGCAAATCTCGAAAACTAGGCGGACAACCGTTTTTCATGTTGGTCAACCCCCTAGTCAAATTTTCTCCACATTCTGAAGATCATAACGTTAGTTTTGTAAAATCAAGCATTGAAGCCCAAAAACTGCTTTTATCGAAATTTTTGCACTAAAATGCCAAAATCTCAAGCCTCTTGAATTTTTTCAAAAAACTCTAGACAGTTTTTTGGCCTGATTTAAAAAAAATTTTGGTTGGAAATTGATTGAGGGTAGTCTCGAGGGGCTGGGGCCGTTAGACGCGAAATCCTGGCTATGCCCATGCATTGGTCGATCTCTTAACTGAAAAACCTTTGTCAAGTTATCGGTTAGGACTAGAAAAAAAGTCTAACCGTGCTGTCTCATTTAAAAGCATATGGGCATTAAAATAATTTTTAGATTTCTTCGGTCATTTTGCATCCCAACAAGAAAACTGTCATCTCAGCTGCTTACGACGCTCAGGTATGTTTTGGTGAAATTGAAAGTCTTCATAGTTTTGCTCACTTTCTAGTTTGTTTCTTTTAGGTTAGAATTTGGTCCGTTGGTGAAGAGGGAAGCCGAGTGACGATCGACTGCCATTCTGCGCCAGTCACTGACGTCTCTTTGCATCCAACGAACGATTACATCCTTTCCGTGTCACATGATGCTTCGTGGGCCTTCTCGGATATTAATACCGGACGTGCTATTTGTGTTGTAAGTTTTGAAGAACAAATAAAATCGTTTTGAGTTCGTAATTGGTTAGTACTTAATTATCATTAGTCTATAGACTTATAAAATTTGATTAGAATTAATTTTTCAGCATCGCCCTCGTGATTCTGAGGGTTCCAAACCAATCAACTGTGGTCAACTCCATCCTGATGGTTGGGTTTAATGGGTTATTTCTAATTTTTGAATGTCTTTAGGATTAATCTTTGGAACTGGAGGCGATGATAACATTGTGAAGGTAAACATGTTGCAATGGTGTAAAAGCATAAAGTGGATTTAGATTTGGGATCTTCGTCAGCAAGTGAATGCCGCAAATTTCCCTGGACATGAGGGTGCAATCAAATGCATGGCTTTCTCGGAGATCGGTTTCCATTTGGCTACAGGATCCGATGATGGAACGGTTTGTTTTGACCGCTTATCTATTTAAAATTTCTCAATGTTAAGGTGAAATTGTGGGATCTTCGAAAGTTGGAAATGTTGCGCTGCTCTACAGAAATCATCGATGGAAAAGCTCCGGTAAATGAAAACTCGTGTGCTTTTAATGTTCGTTTTTAGGTTTCATGCTTGTCATTTGATCAATTTGGAGCTTTCCTTTGTGTGGGAAGTTCTGATGTGAAAATGATTCACGTTAAACCTTGGGCTGTAAGTTTTGCTTGACTTGATTAGTTTTAGTTAAATGCTCTGGTTACAAATCCGAGCCGTAACCCAAAAAAAACCCAGAAATTTTTGTATTCCAGGTTGTTGGCGAATGGGCTAATCACACGTCGACGGTGACCGGTGTTCGAATCCAAGGTAGCGCAATTTTATATTTTTTAAAACACAAATTTCAGCTGATGCGACTGGTGTGGTGTCGGTTGGAATGGACAAATCGCTCCGTGTCTATTCGGCTTAAAAACGTTGTTTCCCATTTGTTTTACGCGCTATTTATTCTATATTGTTACTTCCTATCTTGGATTCACGATACTCATTTCAATATTTCTTTTCTTTTGTACTATTTTATCGTTTGTTATACCGTGTAGCTGAATTTATTTATAAAAACGTTCGTTCTTGACTTTCGTTCGTTCGAATGACTGAGATAATATTTATTTATTTATTTCTATTGATAATACATTGCACCTAATAGTACAAAAGTCAAAAACATTGGTGGAATTATCGCGGATTTCGGAAGTCCTTCAACGTGTAGATGTAGTGGCAGTGTTCTCGTCTCTCCTTCATTTCGCACAATCACCGAAATGTTTTCTTTCGAATGCACTTCTGGTAGGAAAAGTCGAACCGAGTGACAGTAGGCTACAGGACGAGCTGGGCCTGGAAGTTTTTAAAAATAGGTATTAGGAAATTTTGGGCATCCAGGGGTTTTGAGTAACTAACCGTCAACTTTCGATCGAACTTTCAATGGCCTCAACGCTGAAACAGCCGCTTTGCCCAATGATTGCTCGGTTTTTATCAGATCTCCATTGACAATAAATGCTACTTCGGGTCGTGGGTTGGCACAAACCTGGAGAAGTTTATTAGGTGTCAATTTTGGTGGCAAAATGAATTCAAAAATTGAGCCTAGAACAGTTGCTGAATATACTCTTGGGTAATCGAATGTGCTAGTTTTAAGCTAACTAAACGCTAATTCAATTCTGAGCTTTCTTTTCTTTAAACTTCTCACCTCAACTTCGACAAAACCCGGCTGACCGTAGGCGAGCAAATTGTCGCTGACTTGCACTTTTTCAATGCCGACCACGTTGACGATGATTTCGGAGCTAAACTGGTCAGTTTTAAACGACTTTCAACTAAAGTACGCCTATTATATGGAAATTTTTGTACACTCTCACCTGTACGCCTTTTTCGTGTTATCGGGCACTTGTCCTTGACATCGATATTTGCCGCTCATGTAAAGCGATGTGGTCCGCAAATCGCATTGAGTTGTCACTCGATGCTCGACCTCTTGACTGAATTTTTGGCATATCGAAAATTCATCCCGAACCCAAAACTCTTACCTGCACTTTTTGTTTGAGACGAGATTCGAGCACGCGAACTCGTTCCAGTTTCCGCCGAGCTGAAAGGATTGCATTGGCAAAAGAGCCAAATCTCCAGGCTAACCCAAAGACTTGACTAGGTTTCGGCCGAGCCAAAGATTTGGCTTTTTTTGACAACTCTGGTCTTGGGTCTCTATCAAGCCTTATCGAACTCGAGTCTTTATGAAACTTGATACCGTAAATACTGTAATTCTCTAATAGACGGCACTCTCTAATAGAACGGCACCCTCTAATAGAACGGCAAGTGTAAAAATTACGTTTTAAATATAACGATTTTGATTTTTTTCTTTAAAAGTATTTCCGTAGAACGTCTTTTTAGCATACATTTTGTCGTTTTTATCTTTTTCTGCTTATTATATCATTATTATAAGTACTAATTTTATTTTTTTAGAAATGAATCTCGATGGGAACCTGTTTGATGAAATGAAGGAATTTCGGGCTCGTTGCAAACATGAGGAAAACGAGGAATTCTTCAGGGAAACTTGTGATGAGCTCACCGAGCAAGATGCCAACGAAAACTTGGTCAACGCTGAACTTAAGGGATCTTCAAGTGAAGCGGATGAGCCACCTACAAAGAAAAAGAGGAAAGCCAGAAGAAGAAGAAAGAAGAAAGAAGAAGAAGAAACTGGCTGCTACAAAGATGGTCAAAGGTTTTTCGATCATCGTGGCGGCTAGATATTTCAAGATTTCTCGGAGCTGCATCCAATCTTACGTCAAACATGTGGGATCAAATTTGCAGCAAACGGACTCAACGACCATCTGATTCACTGTTTCAAGTTGTCTAAAACGATTCTTTTATATTTACAGGTTTACTTTATTGATTTAATTATCTTATTTTCTGTTTGTTATAGATGCTGAAAGATGCTCGAATAGAGAAGGAAATCGAAGATCTTTTGAGGTTGCTCGCATTGACGGGATTTCAAGAACATCGACGCATTGAATGATCAAGAAGAAAATCAAAAGGGAAAGAACGGCATGCCGCTCAATTACAGTATTTATGGTAAGGATTTTGGTTTGCTAGCTCAAAAGCTCAAAAGACTTTCGACTCTTGCACTCACCTCATCGGACGGCCGGTGTTGCCAGGTGATCGCGGCTGGCACCGGCCTCGAGCTGAACTCACAAGTCAAATTGACGACACCCGTGTTTAACTGAAAGTTTTTGTTTTTCGCATTTGATACTGGAATTTGTAGCTTGAAAATCTCAAATTGTCGATTTGCAGTAAAAAAAAAATAGAAACATTTTTCTTAAAATTCACCTGATAAGTGCCCGCAGCAATCCCGTTCTCCTCTTTCTCCAACCAGACACCGCACAGGGGAGCTCGATCCTGAGAATGTTATGAGTGTTTGTAAAATTTGCATAAAATGGCTTAAAATTGGATTTTAGAAAAAAATCTCAAACGATGTGCATAGCTGAAAAAGAAAACTGAATGCATGTCGTTTCTTGGTGAACCTCGAATGGCTGATGGGTATGGGTAAAAGTGGGAGAAATTTAAGATATACACCAGGATGATAATCACAATTCAACACACACACACACACACACACACAATTATGGCTATATCACCGCGAAGCGGGATCGAACCCGAGAGACAGCCACACTGGCAATTCCAGAGACAAATTTCTCATTAAATCTTTTCTATCGTTAGATTTTTTGTCATTTAGTGTCGTTCGCGTACTTGAAGACGGGGTGTTTCTTGTTGAATAGAGCTTTGCAATGTTTGCGTGTGAAAGAGGAGCAAAACTCAATTCACGAGTATTCAAAGGTTTAGCTGTTTCTTGTTTTTTTGCAGAAGAATGTGCAAACCTCGACTTGTTACTTCTTACGAAATGTTTTGAAGTCATTTTGCTTAAGCAAAATCTCTAGTTGTTTAGCTTTACCTCTACCTTTACTTTACCAATCATAGCTAGAAAAGTCAAGTTTTCTTTTTTTTAGCTTTATCAGTCTGAATCCGAGTACCAGTTTAGCTTTTTGGCTTATCCAAAGAATTACTAAAATGAGTCATCAATGGGAATACGCGATGAGAATTCTCATTTAAATTCATTTATTTAATTTGTCTTGTACTGAAGAAAGCACTTGAGTAACAACTCGAGTCGGTTTACAAGTTGAAATCGTTTCGATTGCGCCACCCCAACGCTACGTGGGAAATGGTGAAAATTGTAATTAAGTACTTGGCAAAGTTAACTTCGATTCTCGAATATTTACAATTCCGACAGCTACCAACCGATTTGCATTCTTGATAGCACGAGGGATCGGCTTTGAGTGACCCGTAGTAGAGGTGAAGGGCGGCTAGCGTGAGCACGAATCGCATTTGTGTGAAAGACCTAAAAATTGTATACCGTAAAAACAAATTCTAATAGAAGCACAGTCTCCAAAAGAAGCAAGAAGCAACAATCGAGACTCCTCGAAATGTTGACTTTAAACTCCGCGCTCCCGCGCTCCTCCCTCCAAATGACTTCTTTTCGGAAGATTTCGGAGGAAAATCGCAGAATTCAGTGCGCTAGAAAGAGTGGGGTTTACAAGTTTTGCGTTTACAAAAAAGTTTTACAAAAAAGAGAACCTTTATATGGAAAAATAGAGAGAAAGATCAAGAATTCAATGCACCAGAAGGTCGACGTTTCGAATTTGTTGCGCAGAAAGTACAGAAAGTACAAAGTACTACAAAGTACTCAAAGAACTCTTCAGAGTACTCTTCTTTGAAGAGAAAGAGTACTCTTCTTTGAAGGGAAAGAAGAGTACTCTTCAGAGTTCTTTGAGTCTTATTAGTTAGAGGCGAAATTTATGTAAACGTCAACCTTCTGGCACACCTAGTCAAAGAAAAAGCTAAACCAGTTTCGCGTTTGAATTTCGAAAGGAAAAAGAAACAAAGCCAAAATTGGGTATTTTATCTGTTTCACTACCAAAAAATACGGAATACGGGGAAATTTTTTGGGAAAATTTTGGGCAGAGGTTTGAAAAAAAGGAAAAGATAAGAACACAGCGATCCAATTTGAAAAAAATAAAAGAGAAAAAGAGAAAAAGACTTCTCTAGAATGAGTCTAAATCTAAAAAAGAGACAACTTTTTCTTTTTTTTTTTTCGATCTCCCACAATCACATTTAATACCAAAATAACCAAATGGCATCAATTATTTGAAAAGTTTTTTAATAAATCCCAAACTTATTACTGAAAAAAAGATTGTTTTTGAAAAGAAACTTTGATAAATTTTAGACTTACACTGATGAAAATACCGTAAATACTGTAATAGTACCCCACTCCCATAATGACGGTGTGGAGCGTTGCGTAGTCTAGCTTTGAACGAGTTTTTCTCGACACTGGTTTATGCTACAATGCTCGTTTAGATATCAAAAAATAGCTGAAATTCAGGGCTATTTTTTGATACCAAAGTGCGCATTGTAGCATAAAGTAGCGCAGAGAACGGGATGTTCAAAGTTAGACTACGCAACCATCCCGAAAAAACGCGTTTTTCTCGACACTGGTTTATGCTACAATGCTCGTTTAGATATCAAAAAATAGCTGAAATTCAGGGCTATTTTTTGATACCAAAGTGCGCATTGTAGCATAAAGTAGCGCAGAGAACGGGATGTTCAAAGTTAGACTACGCAACCATCCCGAAAAAACGCGTTTTTCTCGACACTGGTTTATGCTACAATGCTCGTTTAGATATCAAAAAATAGCTGAAATTCAGGGCTATTTTTTGATACCAAAGTGCGCATTGTAGCATAAAGTAGCGCAGAGAACGGATGTTCAAAGTTAGACTACGCAACCATCCCGAAAAAACGCGTTTTTCTCGACACTGGTTTATGCTACAATGCTCGTTTAGATATCAAAAAATAGCTGAAATTCAGGGCTATTTTTTGATACCAAAGACGCATTTTTTGAAAGTACGGGTGCTTTGAAAAAAATGAAATACTAAAAAACTCTTGCGACTACGCGACTGTACGAGGACGGTGGGGCACTGAATTGATTTTACCAAAATCTTTGCCTTGTGAACCGGCGCACCGGTCACTTTGTTGATAAGTGACCAAACTAAACTTGTCGCTAAGTTTGACCACACGAAACTTGTCCCTAAACTGACTCGATTCCTTTTTTGGTCACTCGCATTTCGGGCTCGAAATTTCTGCAATGCTTCGATCAATTGAAAAACGTTTTAGCCTATTTTGTAGAGGAGATTTACAACTTTCAAATAGTTTATAACATTCATCATCAAAACATTCATCGATATCAGCTTTCTATCGTTGGAAATTGATGAAAATGTTGAAATCCACATTTCGTATTCATTTACCTAATAGATGATTATGATTGTTTGAAGAAAAGAACTGCATGGAGACTAAAATATAAATATAAAAAAGCCTATATAAGCCAATATAAGAAGCCAATATAAGAAGTAAAAATATTAGTTCTGAAGCTAAAATGGTTGCCATTTGTTTAGTAGTCAAACTCTTCTCGTTTCCCTTTTCGTTGCGCAAATTTCGTCGTTTTGTCGTCGCCTACTCGAGCGTGAGCTCATTGAAATGCAGAAGAAATGGTGTAGAATTTGGAAAAGAGAGAAAAAGGATCAGTAGCATTTTTATTTAAACAAAAAACATTTCATTTTTACATTTGAGAGAAAGGCTTCTATCTAATTTCGATTTGCAAACGTACTTTAGACTTTCAATTCGATTATTTGGGCATTCAAATTAATAAGGACTAACCGTGGGAAAGAGTTGCTCGACTTTTTCATTAAAGAAGCAAAAAGAATAATTGAAAAACAGTGAACAAATGCAACAACACTAGCCGCAAAAGTACTAACAAGGGAAGGTCAACTGGCTGAGCCGATCAAATGCTATGCGACCTATCCCATTTGACACAGAATTTTATGCTGATTCCGAATAATATTCCACTTTTGCTAAATGATAATCTGCCAGGAGTTATAAGCATCTAAAGTTTTGTTAGGACTCTGAAATTTGGCCCTTTAGGTCTTAGCGGTCTTCTTGAAGACCAAATTCGTGGCCGAGTGGTGCAGTTCTCAAATAAAGACAAAAAAACTAACATTGATGACAATCATCGATAAAGAACACTAGTCAGTTCCTGAAAAAAGCAAAAGAAAAGAAAGGTCACACTCTGGAAACGAGCGCCACTCTGCATTCAAACAAATCCGCAGGGAGGCTACTAAGACCCAAACCAACGCTGCACCACTCGGCCACGACTGCACCGAATTTGGTCTTCAAGAAGACCACTAAGACCTAAAGGACCAAATTTCAGAGTCCTAACAAAACTTTAGATGCTTATAACTCCGGGCAGATTGTCATTTAGCAAAAGTGGAACATCTATTTGAAATCAGCATAAAATTCTGTGTAGAATGGGATAGGTCGCATAGCATTTGATCGGCTCAGCCAGTTGGCCTTCCCTTGTTAGTACTTTTGCGGCTAGTGTTGTTGCATTACCTCTATTCTTTGTTTTTTTCAATTATTTCTTCTGGCTCTCTCTACTTGGACACGACTTTCTTCGAGGATTTGACTCTGCTGCGAGAATAAAAGTACCCTACAGCAAGATTCTGTCGTCACTGTTTTCTCTGCCTATGTGAATGAAGCTGAATGGGTGAATGAAGCTACTTCCACAACAATACGTGCATAGTTAGGTCAATCAAAAGCTCCAGTTTGTCGACCAAAAGTGACCCCACTATCCACAAAGAAAAAGTATAATGAAATCTTTGAAATTTAAGCTCAATAATTGCAGACGGAAGCGTCGTGGCCTTCAATGAAGGCTTCAATTTGCCATTTGAGTGGAAAAAAAGATCCCCTTTCAACTTATTTATTTGAATAGATGTTTAGGAGAGGAGAAGGGTCAACCCTTTCAACTTGTTGGTTCGCATGGAGGCTGATTATCCCCTTCTATAGGATTTTTCTTTAAATTCTGATCAAATAAACTGATCCATGTGGAACTTAATAAAATACGTTAAAACAATTTCAAAAGTCTTTTTGGTAAAAAGAAACAAAAAATTGCAAAAGACCAGAGGTAGAAAGACATCGTTTTCGGCTTCAACGTCCATCTCGTCATCAGTGTTTGCATTATTGTCGATAGTTTCTTTTTGGTGGTGACGGCGATTGGTGGTGGCTCGACGCTTGTTCGCCAATCCACGACTAGCTGATCGTCTCAGCTCAGCAAAGCACGAATCATCACAGGCTTCTGCGTCCGTCAGGGCCAACATCTTTTTTGACAAAAGACCATGAAACTTTTAAAAGACCATAATTTAGGGAAAGAACCAAAAGAACAAATGGATTACAAAAGTTTTAACTTCTAGAAAAACTTTATTCAAATAAAACTATTCCAAACTTTGAGCAAAGTCATTCGTTTGAATAGATAACAGAAAAATTTGAAGAAGTCCCAATTGAAGAAGTCCCAATTGAAGAAGTCCCAATTTTTTTAATACAATTGCATCGATTTGTAGACAGTTGAAGGAGCGGTTCCGCGGGCCATTTTCGATCGTGTCACCGTCGAGATTTGAAAGCTTTGCGTTTGCTGCGTGTGCAGCGATTTCGTTAGCTGTAACTGTGCTTCGAATGTCGTTTAAATTTTGAAGCAAGACTTTGAGACAAAGTTGGTCTTAGTGCCCAGCTGATCAGCTGATCAGATTCACCAAATGGAAAGCCCAAGCCGATTAGGATCAGCTGATAAGCAAGAATTGAGAAGCAAGAAGAGCAAGAATTATCCCGAACTTGACCTGGCTTCAAGCTAGTACTATAATGCCAAGCGAATGCGTAAACGAACGTGTGCTTAGCCCAGATCTAGCTCTGTCAGCTCCTAGTCAGCTCCTAGTCAGCCATCCATAGATTTACCCCAGAACAAGAACTCACATCGATCGGCGTCAAACGTTTTCGACAGAGTAAGGTTGGTGGGCAAATGTAGTAAAACATGATCAAAGCCTGAGAAATTCTATTTTGATTCACTTTGTCTAATTCACTTTGTCCTACTTGTGTAAATGGAAGAGTTGCAGGAAAAAGCGTTGGCATCGAGATCCAGTAATCGAGGAGAAGATGCGGGGAGAAAATGAGAAGTAAATAAGTGACGGTGAATGGGAAAACGACGAGGAAAACCGGGCCGATTATCTGAATGTAATATTGGTAAGATTATTGGTCACTTATTGGGCACTTATTGGTCACTTGTTGCTCACATATTGGTCACTTATTGGCCACTTATTGACAACAAGGGCTTACAGTCCAAGTAAGTAAATTAAGTAAGTAAGTAATAAGTAAGCTTACAGTCTAAGTAAATCAGCGATCAACTGACGACTTCAGTGGACTAGATCATTAGCGTTTAGCCGGCTTTAACC